CCAGAAGTTCAGGGGTCACACTGATTGCTGTGTGCAAACTCTGTTCCAACCCTAAATGGTTTTTGGGCGTACCCAGCCACTGAAGCTGCTAGCAAGAACTATACTTCCATTAGTAGCCCCAACTGCACACTACCCTCCACAGTGGGGTAGAACATCCTGCAACAAAACCTTGCACAGCACTGTCACACTAGCCCTGAATCCATTTTCCATGTTAAAACTGCTAATCTCCTGTATAAAGCAGCTGTTTGCCCACTCCAACCTTTTCTACCTTATCCTCAATGTGAAACCATAAAATGTCTGTACATAGAATTTCTGCCATCTCATGGAGAGGTTACAAGTATTCTGTGTAGACTCCGCTCCTTATTTCTGGACCTAATGGCCATTTGGGAAGGCAGGCACTCCTCTCCAAGGAAAAGGAGATCATATGACTCCTTGCACCTGATCCAATGACATGAAAATGAGAAACTTTCTAACCCATTCTTAAGAAACTCTGACACATGCTTCTTAATCCTATATGTGCTTTTCTTCTTGTAGCTTAAAAGAGCAACTCAAGCTTACCTCCATTGGAAGATACACAATTGAATTCCAGAAAACAATCTAGACCAGGGGCAGCAACCTATAGCCTGCAGCTTAGATCCATCACATGGAGAGTTCCAATTTGACCTGCAAAGGTCTGAACTGGCACAGGGTTTGAAATATTTCAAAGGGGGGAGGCCTCGGAGGGGGCTGAGCCCTCCCATAAGAGACGGGAATCCCACCATAAGAGGAAAAAGCCTCCGCCCTGCCCTGCCCCATACCTTTCCAAGCAACTCAGGTGGTGGCAGCAGCTCCTTCTGGCCGCCACTGCCACAGGCCCTTCCAAGAGTCAAAGTGCAATTCAAGCCCTGGGTGCACCATGCCTCCCATCACTTCTGCAATGCTCCCCTCTACTGCAGAGTCTGGTGCTCAAGTGCATCTGTGCTTCACTCGCTAGAGCCAGGTCAGAAATCTGCTGTTAGAGTGAGTGCAGGCAGCTGGCTGCTCCAGGATATGGAGACTCTGGTCCACAGCCATAGCCAGGTCACATGCAAAAGCCTGAAGACTCCTCTTCTGGGCATTTGGCCCTGGATAGTTTACTGCATGTATACTGAATGTGTATCTTCAAACTGCAGAAATGTGTCACTATAGTGCCCTTTTCTGAGGGGCTATTCAACGAAGAAAAAGAAAATCTCTTTTCTGTCAGTATCCTGCCAGAACTTCTCCTTGGTAAAAGCCTGTCAACAAGTGTGTTTTAGTTGAAAATAACCTTGCGCTTGACCTATTTCCCTGATGTGTGGGAGTTCCTGTGTGGCATTTAAGACTAAAATCATATCCAAAGGGGAGCTATCTCTAAAGACTGAACAGTTTGACACTGGAAACAATTCTTCTTTGCTTTCTACATCACCATATCCCTCAGGTTGGAGATCTCTTCCCTCAGCAAGTCACTGTTTTTAACATAGGTCAGCACCGGTTTTCATTCTACCTTGAAAACAGCAAGCAGCACAGCACACATGTTGTATTTGTTTTCGCTGCCTGATAATGCTTTGTAATAGTTAGTTTTCTCTTTTTTTTTCTCCTTTTATCTGTTACAGTTACAAGTAATGGTGCAGAAAGACAGTAACATTCAGGGGAAAATTACAAGGAACAGACTGGCAGAAAATGGCAGAGGAAATATTTGCCCCTACTTTTAAAAGTAACTGGCTACACTGGGCATTTCCAATTTTAAGGTACTTGCCTTGAGACACTTTTAAGGTGTTTCATTTTCAGATCGAGAGAGAAAGAGACCAACTTTTTCTGAAAACCAGATTGCTAAATTGTCGCAAATTCAAAACAACCAGGATCACAGGTTGTATCTGAAATTCTGAACCAATGCCAGCAATATTCAGATCTTTTCATAGCAAACATAAATAAATAAAGTTGTGTTTGTTTTCTTGTAGGAAAGTTAAGAGAATAAAGTGTGTGACAGTTTTTAATCAAAGCATCACCTTACTTAACTGGATTTGAATACTCTTTTGCCAATGATGAAAAGTTGGATCTGAATACAGTTCAGCCCATCAGAACCTCTTAGATAAGGCCCCATTATATTCTGTGCATTAACTACTTGATACAGCTTAGTCATTCATTGCCACTGCCACTGAATTATGTTTACTGAGACCAGAGCTAATGGCCAGTTGACAGCGGTTATTCTGTCATTAGCCAGTCGTTCCCATTATGGTGGCTCTTGGCAACTGTGCAAGGAAAACCCTCAACTGGTTTCATGCTATATTTTTTTTCTAGTGGAGCTGCACAAAGTGGCCTGTGCTTAGCCCAGAGTAAACTCTCCAGTGCTACAGTTCAACCAACCGCTATTGAAAGAGTAATACAGGTGAGAAAAAGTTTACTTTTAAAAAAAAATTAAGTAGAAAAAAATGCAAACTTGAGTCTATTTATGCCTATACCTTTTATATATAATGGAATAAAACATCCACTTTCGGCTTACATAGCACTTTGCACCTTATCAGCCATCATTAAAATGCATTAAATGGCTCTAATAATGATGCACAATTGACCTGCACAGTACCTTAGCATTTCCAATCATCTCCAATTTCTGTCTAAATATGAAGAAGTTTAATTATCAAATTCCTAACTTCAGGTCTTTAGAGTATTAAAAAAAAAAAGAAGCACATTTATTAGTTTTAGTTTTATGAACTTCTGAGGTTCAGAGTGAAATGAATGCTGCAATATAAAGATTTGTCTATACTTGAAAGGTATTTCAGATTGTGATCTTCTACCTTAAACTAGTGAGGAATAACTCTTCTGGAAATGGAGTCCACACTGTTCTTTCATGTTAAATTAATATACTTCTTTTTGGAATCAATGGATCCACACTGAACTTTTTCAAAATAAGCACACCGTGCTCTCAGCAGATATCCAGGGAGGTTGCAGTAATGCAGTTGCACCCCACTGTGATTCCTGCTCCACCTGAACTTTAAAACCAACTGCCTGGGAATACACGCAGCATTTGTCCAGGCAGTGCTGAGAGAATCAGTTGACTTCATGGTGCATTATCGTCACCCTGATTCCTGCTACTCTCCCTTTACCCTTTTTAATGGTGTTGATGTTCCACTGTTCAAACTATCTTTTTTTCTTCTATTTTGCTGTCTTATGATCCTAGCTCTATTTTCTGGAAGACCCAGATTATTCCTTACTTTCACAACCTAGGCAGCTTCTTTCTAGATATTTAGGATAGCAGAAAAAGGCTGTTTAACTACATCCTGATTAAGTGTACAACAACAGTGGAGAGTGCATTTAGAAGACTGAAAAGAAAGCGGAGATACTGCATCACCAGCCTGGAGACTGCTGAGTAATAATCTGTTTCACATAATAACTACATGCAACATTTTACCTAGCATATGTGAGAGAAAGAGAGAGTGCCTTACCAGTGGGTAGAAGACAGATTTTCTGAACTGGCAGACATTGACTATGCTAAATGCTGAACATGCACACAGAAGCATGATGCTCTTATTTTAAGCTAGATTGTAATGGTAAAATATGCATTTAACCTTACACAACTATTTTGTTGTATTTGGATGGAAAAATTATAAAATCTTTGCAATAAATAACTTCATTGAACGTAGGGTACCATTAAAACCAACAAAAACTAAAAGAAAAGAAACAATTGTCACTAAGTGATCGCATCTATGCTGTTCTGATCAGACAGGTGTAGCTAGAAGAAGTTGCATCTTGGGCTCTTGAAATGTTCATGAAAGGGCTTCTCTATGGAGTGTGAACATCTCCTGACTTGGTATGGTGTGGTAAGCAAAAGACCTCTTCTTTGTATTTGGGTCACATAGGAGTACTGCCACAAAGCAGCATTCAACTGGCTCTGTATACATAAACTTCTACCCCAGACTAGCCAGGTCCTGTAGGTAGACAATTTAGCAACTGCATGTACACCTCTACACATTGTGGGGTATCATTCTGTCATGAGTACCCTAGGGAAAAATCTTGTTTAAAAGGTAACATACAAACTGACTGAAAATGTATGCCATGCTAGTGTTTGGAAGAAAGGTGTCCTTATAGCTATTCAGAAGTGGAAGAAACACAATCTGCATGGGCAGCCTAAACTAACCTGTGTTGTCATGCATTATGCATGCTGAAATAAAGTACTGCCTTTGCCTGAGTGTCTGGTTTATAACATCCACAAAGCAACACAAATGCACTGCAAAACCTTTGCATTGTTTGATCTGAACTCAAGGGCATAACAATGCTAAGGGTGTGCCTAATTAGAACTGGAATCTGTGTGCATTTTTTCAAGCCTGAAGCAGCTAAAAAGCTAGAAGGAATTGAAAGCTCAATACATTTACTAAGGTGTGAGCCAAAATACACAAAGAGTATCTGCTATTATAATTTTAAAAATCTGCATTTGTTTTGTTTTGTTTTGAAATCTCTCTGTGCGCATCTACACAGGAAATTACTGTGCCTGAATTAACTCTGGCACATTTTGTGCTGGGGTTTATTGCTCCTGGAAGCAGTGTTTATACATGTGCCCAGAACCGCATGTTGAGCTGGGGCAGCACAGCCCCAGATGGCAGGGGGCCCAGGAAGCCAGCATGCCAACCCAGAGCTGCTCTGCCCCAGCTCAACATGCTGCAGAGGGGCTTGCTGGGGCATGAGGGTGCTACAGCGAGGGGCTGGCCAGCTGGCAGCCCCCACACTGTAGCACCCTCATGCCCCAGCCAGCCCTGGTCACCATCTATACATCAGTTGCAGCACACTAAACTGTACCAAAGGGTAGTACTTGTGTTGGGGAGTACTATCCTTGGCAGAGTTAATTAGTTTACTCTGGCCTAATAGCTCTATACCTGTAGGCACTGATGCTTTACTGGGGAGCTACTTAATCATCTCTGCAGTAAAATGCACGTGTAGATGCCCCTTTTGTTGTTGTTATCTTCCATGCAGGACGGAAAGTAAATATTAAAAAGTAATGATGACATATTTCGCCAATATTTGTAGGATCTGATATTTAGACAAGTAAGTGCTCTACAGCATTTTGAACATGCTGGTGAGACAGTGCTTGATAGCATTCAAAATAGTTTCCCTATGAAGCTATACTGTAATAAGGAACCATATCAGAGTACTTGAAGAGGTCTCCTTCCAGCACGGTCAAGCTAATTCTCTGACTGACATTACATTGCTAACTCCTTTGCAAAGCCTGCCCCAGGGTTTCAGAGCCAAAGAAGGTCTAGCTGTCCATGTTAGTTTCTTGCTCAGAATGTGGAAACTGTCCAGTAGGGTAATTTGGTGCTGTCCAAAACATGCCAATGTTCATTAATGATAGCACAGGTATTAGGCCTGTGTGAATAGGGCACTATATGACTCAAATTCGGATTCAGTCGATTTGGATGCCAAAGATTTGATGCAGAGATCTGAATCACTTTTCCGATTCGATTCAGCCAAATTGCTTCGGAAGATTAGGAACCGATTCGGAGATTCGGCCAGAGTATAATGGGGAATAAATGAAATATCTATACCTTTGTTGTTTTTTGGCTGACTCAAATGAAACTTGCAGGGGTGGTAGCTTCTGCTGAGAGCACGAAGCCTGCCAAACTTCAAGGGATAGGTGCAGGGGTTTCTGGGAAACTGCACCTCAAAGTACTGAAAGCAAAACTCATGTCACGTATGTGTGTTAAGCCACAGTGGGGTGAAAACTGCAGGAGTAGTAGCCCCTGCTGCAGCCACAATTCCTGCCAATTTTCAAGGAGATAGGATAGGTTTCTGGGAAACTGCACCTCAAACTGCTGACAAGCAAAACTCATGACATAGGTGACACTGTGTGTGTTAAGGCACAAGGGGGTAAAAACTGCAGGCCTGTTAGGGCCTGCTGTGGCCACGAAGCCTGCCAGCTGTCAAGAAGATAGGTGCAGGGGGGGTCTGGGTTCTGAGGCCCTGCACCTCTGACCGCAGGCAGGCAAAACTCGTGACATGGGTGCTTGTGGGACTGTGTGTGTGTGTTCAGGTGCACCCTTCCTGGTGCTGGGACACAACACACAACACAGCAGTGTGCCGCCATGAGGTCTTCTCCTCCCCTACAGCCTCGCCTCGGTCCACCACTGTAAACGATGGCAGGTCAAATTAACTTAGCTGGCTCAATACCAATAGCACCAGCAGCAAAGATACCCAGACAGAACTGTCACAGAGCCTTTCTTTTTATAAAGGAATTGACAGCAAGAAGTAGAGCTGTTGTGTTGCATATATGTTACTCATGGTGTGTGATGGCTTATCTTGTGTTTTAATGTTTATTATGAAAAAAACCAAAATAGTTAGAAAAATATATCTTAGAAAGCTTTCAGGTTGAAAAAGCCTTTGTCAGGCTGAGGAAGTACGTGCAGTTGGTGCATCTCCTGGTCCTGGATGGAAGGAATAGTAAAGAAGCCAGAGGCTGGCCTGGCACGCAAAGCAGGCAAGAAAGCCAGTCAGTGAAAATGGAAATGGAGGCATCAGGGGTGAATGATAAGCTGGGGTGGGGGGAAGGGGGATATAGCAGCGCAGGTAAAAGTGCAGAGGTACCTGGGGAGTCAAAGTTTCACCACATCCGTGAACACATTCCTGACTTTTATGGGGGTTACACATGCAGAATAAAGCGCACAATTTTACCAATAACTGTAATACTTTTGTCTAAAGAGTCCACAAAGAAGTATAGATCTTCACTTCAACTCCTATCCACATTAGCACAAGTTCAATGCATGCATCACTACAACACACACTGCAGCCTTATTGTTTAGTCTTATTTTTATGGGTGCCATGAGGACGTTTAACTAATTTTACTATCATAACATTTTCTTTCTTTTTAAATATCCTTTGCCAGTGATACATCCCCTCAATTTAGAAGCCATTGCAACTTCAGCAGAAATTTTTTGGAAAGCCTTTTGTGCACATCTGTCCAAACAGGAACTGTTTCCAAACATATTTCTCACAACTTAAAGAGGATCAACACCTACCCCCTTCTTGGATTTTGTTTTATTAACAAATAAAAATAATTTATAATCAAACTAACACAAGATCCAGACCGTACCTTCCACCAAGACTCAACTTTTTATCTGTTTCTTTCTTGAAACCTGCTGAAACCTAGATCTTCTTTTTCATAGGGCCACTTCTGCTTCCTTTTCAGGCAGTGTAGTTAATGAATCACTTGTTCTAGTGAGACAACTGAACTTTCTTAGGATCAATGTATTAGAATCAACGTCTGTTAGCAGGCTGAGCATACAGCCTGTTACAAGGACTGACAAGAGCTTCACAGGACGAAAAATGATTCCAAGGACTATGATGAATTCTGAATCACTTAAGGATTCAACTATATCTGTTGACATGTCTATAAACATCTTATACATACACTGCATTTTGTACAAATGCCATTTTTTCACAAAAATGTTCAATAAGGACCATGTGAATTTACACTTTCAAGAGTGTAAGGAGCCTATTTGTGCTATACTACCCATATTTTAATACCAATGATCACTGGACAGCCAACATTTACTTAGCACGTGTAAGTAAACAAAGGATCAAAGAAAACACCACCTGTGCCCCTAGACCTTTTAGCCCCACTCCCAAATCCCTGTAGTGCCTCATGACCCGGCTGGGAGCACTCTGAGCTGTGTCATTGGTGCCCACACAAATAAGGACCATGGGATAGTGGTCTGTGGGCTGGAGGAGCTTAGGGACCTTCTCTGCAATGTCTCGGATGCGGGCCCCTGGGAAGCAGCCGACTTCCCAGGCTAAGGGGTCAGGGCGGCAGATTACTCCCTCAGTCACCCTCAAGATGGAGTCTCCCACAACAAACACTTTGTGTTTTGTCTTGGGGAGAGTGGGGGCAGTAGTTGCAGTTGAGCCTGTGTTGCCTGTGGGAGCTGGCAACTCAGTAGGCTCTGCTGGGGCTGCAAGAGGTTCATACCTGTTGCTAAGCTCCGGCGGGGCAGGGGCCTTGGTGTGGCAGGCCTTAAGGGACCTTGATCACCTTGGTCCATCCCCCTGACTGGACAGAATGGGAGGTCCCAGAGTCCTCCCTGGTCCTGGAGGGAGACCGTGGTCTACCCTCCAGCTCCCAAGGGAGAAAATCCTGGCAGTAGGAGTCTATCTCCTGCTCGCAGTCCCTGCTGACATGCAGTTTCTGGACTGTGGCCTGGAGCTCCAACTGGCATGCCAGGGACCCCAAAAGGAAGCAGACCCCACAAGGGGAGGTAGCCATGCTCCCGGGCCCCAGAGTCTGAAACAGGGACAGGCAAGCGAGACGTGGAGCCCAGAACCATGGGCTCCGTCTGGGTGGCTGTCTCTGAGGTGCCGGGGGGGGGTGCCACAGACCACTCAGGGACCCTCGGGGTTCAGCACGTGCCCATCCGCAGCATGCCACTGGTAGGCGGGCTGGGACTGAGTCTGCCTACCCTAGGGGGTTTGCAGGCAGGGCTTCGGGCATTCCCGCACACCCTCCTGCGCGAACTCTGCTCTAACTGATGTGCCGGCAGATAAGCACGCCTGTTTGCGCAGTCAGTTCACATGGCTCCCTTGGGGGGCTGGGCAAAGTAGCGGCCTGGGCGGGGCGAGACCTGGCCTGGCTCCCACTCAGCCACCTCCTCCCACTTTCTAGGGGTTAACCCCCTCCCACCATGGGCCCCGCTTATCTCTGGTTGTGCCGGGCATCAGCGGGGGGCTCAGCCGCTGCTGGGGGGTCCCTGGGTGGTTTTGGGGAAGCGGGGGCACAGCGGGCTTTCACCCACGCATCTCTCGCCACTCCCGGAGCCTGACTGAGGCTTTTTTGTTGTTGGCAGGCCCTTTTTAACTGTGCGCATGCCCAATACTTTTAAAAGTATTATAGTAGGATTCAGTACTGAAAGGGCATATTTAAGAGTTCATTATAAAGCAGGTGATCTGAAAGGGTAATTAGGGTAGTAAAAACAACTGAAATTTTTGGAAGGCCAATATATCTTCTTTTCAGAGACTTATTTTATTTCTGCTGAGTGAATTTATTTGATTCTTAAAAGAACTCTGATCAAAGCTCCTTGGTCTCATTCAGCTCACTGCTGAATCTTAACAAAAGGTTTCTTGTCGACTTTCTAACACTGCTTGAAGCTTCTCCTGACACACAGTACATAGATACTCCTGCCTGGAGAGAAAGTGATTCTGTCTGCAGTCAGAACTCTCTCAAAACAGACTGCTGTATGACTGATTGACAACCTAGAGACAACTGTTGACTCCACTAATGTATTCTTTTTAGGGAATATGACAAAGAATATGGGCAGGGGATGCCACGTGGGCTCTGGCTGTTGTGATAACCCTCTTTCATTCAGCTCATCAATAAGAGAGAAGCCTAGTAACCCTGTGTCACTAGATCATGAAAATCAAAAGCTCTGGGAGTTCTTTTGTCCAGAAGTCTCTCCACTCTAACACTGGTGAGACAGCCGTGTGCCTAGCCATATGTGACAGAGAGATATTCAGACAGCTTTAATAAACGCAGAGAGCAACAGAATACATAGCTTTGTTAAAAAAAAAGAGCTTCTTCACGATATTCTGGATACCTCATATTCAGGAGACTGTTTGTTACTTCAGCACTGGCTTTTGCTAATAGAAGCTCTAGTATCACAGGTTTGTAAAAAAGAGTGATTGTCTGACTAACTGTGCCCAATAAATAATAACCAAAACCAAGCACATGTTATATTTGCAAGTTGAATTTCAAAAAACCTTCCAAAAGAGTTGTGATTTGTTTCTGTTGACATGAAAGCACAATACCATCTTCTGTTCCTATAACTAAAATATAAACAACATTGTTTAACATTTATAATTTGCCTAGGGATCATATAGTCAGTTATGTCAAGTGTATGTCACACAAAGGAATTATGTTTTCCTGCTTAGTTTTAACTACTTAGTTATTGGTGTTGCTCTTGCCTCTCTGTTGGCTGAATAAAGCAGTACTCACCATTCTGCATTTGTCCATGTATGGGAATATATTTGTATATTTTTATGCTAGCAAGAAGTCTCTGGATGAATATAGCTTGGCTCCCCAAAAAAGGAAAAGTGGTAAAAATGACCATTTACCAAGACTTAATATATGGATGGTTTATATAAACCTAAGCCATCTCTGAAGAGTAATTGAAGTTCTTAACTGGAGGTGGGCTTGAGTCATTTTGTTCAGGAACATGTTAGATCAAGTTCTTAGTCTGATCTCTTTAATTCTAATTACATCATTCTTTATTGTTCACCTACAAAGTCACTATAAGGTCCTCCAGAATGGTTATTGTTTTCTTTCTGAAAACTATGAAGCTTTCATTCTCCATATAGCAATTCTGACATAAAAGTTTGAGCAGTTGGAGCAAGAAAACTAGGTACCTTTCTATGCTTCCATCTGCAACTTTTACTGCCTTACAAATATAAGAGAATGGCTACACACAGTACTTGGATCATTTTTGTTTCATCAGAAATTGACAAGAAAATGAACTCTAAACTAATCCTTATTTTTATCCAGTAAGAGGCATACCCGGAATATGAATTGACATTCTTTCTGTTGCACTTTATATATAGAAGCCTTAGATTAATGGATAACAAGAACCATAAGCTGCCTGTGTGCATTGGGAGTCCTAAAATAAGAAACAAATTGTGCTGCAGCCAGTAAAAATGTGTAGATTATGCTACACTGGGTCTGGTGCAGACATTGACAATCTGAATAAATATAAATCCAATATACCTGATTCGCTTCTCACAAGCCACTGCATCGGCTTAAACAGAATTATTTCCAATTTACGTGGGCGTAAGTCAATGAAGAACCTCATTTTTAGCTTCCAACAAAATTGCAAATAAAAATGTCATGACAGGTGGAAAATTTTGACAGCAAAGCAAAGATAGCCAATTGTTGTATCTGCTCTATATGACAATGTTATCCTGTGTGATAGTATGAAACTATAGCAGTAATATTTGCTAGAGCATTCCTTTTATTTGAAAAAAGAGGCAGAAGCATTTGGTGCATAGTACATTTTGCAGACGACATAGCAATAAGCATGTATATGATTGTCAGCAATTCTCTTACATGCCACCAAAAATGGATTCTAATTTTACTGAAACAAAATTTTTCAAATATGAAATTATGCAAAAACAGAATATACAAAACCTATTTGTTGATTTGAGGAATACCCTTCATATTCACTCAGGACAGAGAAAGGGAGTTTTATACATTCACTAATATCAAAGTTTAGCAACTTGATTGAAATGTGCATGTTTGTTATTTTGTGTTTTTCTTCCAGCCATATCCTAGGCCTGTGAGGGAATCCGATCTTCATGGTTAAAGCCTGAAAATGTGACATTACTGCATCAAAGTGCAAACCAAAAGAACTCAGAATTCATTACTTTGTTTTGCGTCTTTTGTTCCTTTTCCTTTAAAAAATAGTCATGATTATTAAATAAATCACATGATTTATCTGACATCACTTCTGAAAACTGGGGCAGACAATACCATTAAATCATGGGGGAAAGCTTGATACTAGAAGGCAGTTTTTTAAATCATATGCTGGAATTATGCCCCAACAATTCTGCGTATACTTTAATTTCTCAGAATTTGCATATACATATCATTGTACATTAAAAAAATCATACACAAAATTTAGTGATCAGGTTCAGGTCTGTTTGAAAAGCCAATTGCAGTAAACAGTTCTTTATAACAGCCAACCCGCCGACCTGCAGCAGCAGCTGGAGGTAAGCGGAGCCCGTGGGGGAGGGGACTAGCCCAGCTCAGCTGCGAGGAGGCAGCTAAGTAGGAACCGGGGAGGACCTCACCCTGCTCCAGCCCCTAGTTGGCCCACCCCCCCAGGGAGACAGTAGAGGGGAGGGGGTACTCACCAACCCCTCTCCAGGTAGGCAGGGTCCCCCAAATCCCGGGCAGGGCCCCCCCTTGCCCAGGAGTAGACAGGTGCTGGAGGCAGGCCCACTGCACATGTGCATAGTTTCAAAGGGCCCGTCAAAGGAAAAAAGCCCCAGAGAGGCTTAGGGAGTGGCGCGAGACATACGGGTGAAAGCCCATCGTGCCCCCGCACCCCGAATCCCCACATCGATCCTCTACTGCTGCGGAGGACCTGCCATGGACCCTCAGCACAGCCGGAGGTAAGCGGGGCCCATGGGGGAGGGGACTAGCCCAGCTCAGCTGCGGGCAGGCAGCTAAGTAGGAACCGGGGAGGACCTTGCCCCATCCCGGCCCCTACTTCACCCAGCCCTCCAGGGAGCCGTGCAACCGGAGCCTCACAAACAGGCTGCACAAACAGGCATGCTTGTTTGCCCGGTGCATGAGTTAGCATGGAGTTCGCACAGGAGGGCAAGCGGGAGGGCCCAAAGCCCTGCCTGTGAGCCCCCTAGGGTAGGCAGTCCCAGCTGCAGCCGGCCTACCAGTGGCATGACTCCAAATGAGCACGCACCGCACCCCAAGGGTCCCCTCAGGGCCTGCAACCCTCCCCCGCCCCCCGGTGCCTCAGAGGCTTCCACCCAGATGGAGCCCATGGTTCTGGGCTCCACACAGACAGAGCCTCTGGCTCTCAGCTGCGGGGCCTGCCTGTCGCTTTTTCAGGCTCTGGGGCCCAGAAGCATGACCACCTCCCCTTGTGGGGTCTGCTCCCTACTTGGGTCTCTGATGCAGCAGCTGGAGGAGCTCCAGGCCACAGTCCAGAAACTGTGCGCCATCAGGGACTGCGAGCAGGAGATAGACTCCTGCTGCCAGGTCCTTCTCCCCCGGGAGATGGAGGGTAAACCACGGTCTCCATCCAGGACAAGGGAGGACTCCGGGATCTCCCATTCTGTCCAGCCAAGGGGATGGACCAAGGTGGTCAAGGGCCCTAAGGCCTGCCGCACCAAGGCCCCTGCCCTGCTGGAGCTTTGCAATGTGGCGGTCAAGTGGTAGGCCGGGCTGTGGCCAGTAGCCCTAAACGGCAGGCGGGTACTTTTGACCGATGGAGCGGAATTAGGCCTGGATGCGTATTGGTAACAAATAGATTGTTTACTTACGCCACTGATGTATGGGCGCAGGCAGAGTTGACTGGCTTAGTTGCAGTTACAAATGAGTTACAAAGACTCTCTTAAACACACGAGAGAACCGGGACGAAGTTCCCGTAATCAGCTTACTGCGGTACCGGGGTCGGGGTACGTCGGGAGGGTCGAGGATGGGGAGTCACTGGTGGGTGATCAGTCCGCCAGGTTCACTCCGAGAAAAGCACGGAGTTCTCCAACTCCAAGGTGTACGCAGAGTTCTCCAAACTCCGAGAAATGTGCGGAGTTCTCCAACGTGGGCGGAAACTGCTTTAACTTTTATATGACTAGCGAGCCAATTGCTAGTCGCCAAATATGAATAATTTAGAACCGGCCAATGGTGGTATGCAGATTTGCATAAAGTTGGCGGGAACTTTTTTCTAAGCTGTAATTTTCCATTACTGTGGCATATAGTTATTGGGTTCTGACATAGCGGAATTTTCCACTGTGACCTAGTTACTGCCACCAGCGGAATTTTCCACTATGCCATAACATTCAGAATGACTGACAGCAGAATGATTGACAGTGGGATCTTCCACTATGGCGGGAGATTCCACTAAGGATCAAACCAAAGGAATGTTCCACTGTGCCATAGGCATACAACTACTTGGTTCTGACATGCAACAGGTACGAACCTCTTGCAGCCCCAGGAGAGCCTGCTGAGTTGCCAGCTCCCGCAGGCAACATGAGCACTACTGTAGCTATCAACCCCACTCTCCCCAAAACAAAACACAAAGTGTTTGTCATGGGAGACTCCATCCTGAGGGGGGCTGAGGGGGCAATCTGCCACCCTGACCTCTCGGCCTGGGGAAATCTGCTGCTTCCCGGGAGCCCGTATTTGAGACATTACAGTGAAGATCCCTAAACTCCTCCAGCCCCCTGAACACTACCCTATGCTACTTATCCATGTGGGTACCAATGACATGGCTTGGAACCCTCCCAGCCAGGTCATGAAGTGCTACAGGGATTTGGGAGCGGGCCTTAAGGGGTTGGGAGCACAGGTGGTGTTTTCCTTGATCCTTCTGGTTTTGGGCTATGGGCTGAGGAGGGAGAGGAGGATTCAGGTAGTGAACCAAAGACTGTGGCGCTGGCGTCATTGGGAAGGCTTCAGCTTCCATGACCACAGTCCGCTCTTTGGTGAGGGAGGCAGTGAGCTTCTGGGAAGGGACGGCCTCCAACTCTCTCTGCTGGGGAGGAGGCTCTTCTCAGCCAGACTGGCTGACCTGCTCCACCAGGCTTTAAACTAAGCCCGCTGAGGAACAGGGGGGGACTACTGCCACTGCTGGCCCACTGAGCAACCCTTGCAAAGCCAGCTGGCCAAGGCACTTAAGGGAGCCCACCCCTGCCCCAGCCCTAGAGCAAGCTGTGGGCACAGCAAGGGCCCCCAAGGGAACATTTGCATGCCTGTACACCAATGCCAGGAGCTTGGGGAATAAACAGGAGGAACTTCTCCTCCTGCTAAACACAAACAATTATGATGTCATAGGGATAACAGAAACCTGGTGGGACTCCACCTATTACTGGACCACGGGTCTAGACGGCTATACCCTGTACAAGAAGGATCGAGTTTACAAAAGGGGCAGAGGTGTAGCTCTCTCTGTCAAGGAGAGCTACGCATCCCTACAAGCTGACATCGGCACCCAGGGTGGATGACTGGAGACCCTCTGGGTTAAAATTCGTGGGGAGCATAGCACAGGGGACACAATGGTGGGAGTCTACTACAGACCTCCCTCCCGGAATCAACAGATTGATCAGGAGTTTGCCAGGGAATTGGCTGAGGTTGCATGCTCCTAGTCCATGGTCGTCATGGGAGACTTCAACTACCTGGACACCTCTTGGGAGGAACATTTGGCCAAAACTGAATGGTTGCAAAGCTTCCTCACATGTGTGGATGAGCTCTGACTCAAGAAGTCTATGGGCCAACAAGAGGCAAAGCGCTGCTCGACCTGGTACTGGCAACAGGGGATGGCCTAATCATTGATCTAACGATCGAAGGGAAGCTGGGTGACAGCGACCATGAGCTGATCACCTTCTCCATCCACCAAAAAGCTGTCAAGTCAGTCAGCAGTACAGAGGTCCTCAACTTCAGGAGGGCTGACTTTGACAAGCTCAGGAGACTTGTCAGTGAGGCCCTAAGGGGCCACAACCCCAAGGGGAGGGGAGTCCAGGACGAGTGGCTGCTCCTCAAGGGAGCGATCCTAGATGCACAAGCTAAGGCTATTCCATCTTGGAGGAAAGGCAGCAAGAGGGCACAGCAGCCCCCTTGGCTCAACAAGGAACTAGCGGTCCTCCTGTGTCTAAGACCGACCTACAAAGGATGGAGGACAGGATCCACCTCCAAGGAGGAATATACTGCAATGGTCCGGACCTGCAGGGAGCAAACCAAGAAAGCCAAGACAGTGATGAAACTCCAACTGGCTACAAGTATCAAGGACAATAAAAAGACCTTTTTTAGATATGTGGGGAGCTGTAGGAAAAACAAGGGAAACATTGGACCCCTGCTAAACCAGAAGGGAGAACTGATGACCGACACTGAGGAAAAAGCCAACTTACTAAATGGGTACTTTGTGTCAGTCTTTCATAAGTCCCTTGGGATGCCCCTGCCCATTACAGGACAGGGATGCCTGAGTGAGGTTGGTTCCTTGCCCTCCATCAATGCTGACCTCGTGAAGGAACACCTTGAGAGTCTGGACACCTTCAAGTCAGCCAGCCCTGACAATTAACACCCCAGAGTACTCAAGGAGCTGGCCTGTATCATAGCTCAGCCCCTGGCATGGATCTTTGAGAGCTCCTGGAGCTCTGGTGAAGTGCCTGATGATTTGAAGAAGGCCAATTTGGTGCCTATCTATCTTCAAGAAAGGGAGGAAAGTGGATCCGGCAAACTACAGGACCATTAGCCTGACCTCTATCCTGGGGAAGGTCTTAGAAAAGATTATCAAAGAGGCCATTCTTAATGGACTGGCTGATGGCAAAACCCTGAGGGATAGCCAGCATGGGTTTGTTGCAGGTAGGTCGTGCTTGACCTATCTCATTTCCTTTTATGACCAGGTGACCTATTACCTGGACAAGGGGGAAGAGATTGATGTCATATATCTTGACTTTAAAAAAGTCTTTGATCTGGTATCCCATGATCACCTTTTGGCAAAACTGGCCAACTGTGGCCTCAGATCCACCACGATCCTCTGGCTGGGAAATTGGCTCCGTGCTTGGACCCACAGGGTGGTGGTTGACGGAAGTCAATCACGGTGCTGTGACCAGTGGGGTCCCTCAAGGCTCTTTCCTCGGACCTATTTTGTTCAACCTCTTCGTTAATGATGTGGACATTGGTGTCAGAAGTGGACTGACCAAGTTTGCCGATGATACCAAACTTTGGAGTAAAGCATCCACCCCTGAGGGGGGGGGGTGTTTAACACCAAAAACTGGAAGGTTCTCCACCTTGGGAGGAAAAACCTGCAGCTTGTCTAAAGGCTCAGCAGTACTATGCTGACTAGGTCTATGGATGAGAGGGACTTGGGGGT